TTTTGAAAAGTGGGGATATGGGGTAATGTCCTGAAAAGTCACCTTCTCCTTGTAATACCTATGTCATACCTTTGTCATTATACAAATTTATGTCCTCTTTTGTCACAAAAACACACACACACATCGGAGTCCCTCATGGTCACACACTCATGCTCACACACTCACTCACTCACTCACTCACTCATGGTCACACACTCATGCTCACACTCTCTCACACACACACACACACACACTCTCACTCACTCATGGTCACACACTCATGCTCGCACACACTCACTCACTCACTCATGCTCACACACTCATGCTCACACACTCTCACACACACACACACACACACTCTCACTCACTCATGGTCACACACTCATGCTCGCACACACTCACTCACTCACTCATGCTCACACACTCATGCTCACACACTCTCACACACACACACACACACACTCTCACTCACTCATGGTCACACACTCATGCTCGCACACACTCACTCACTCACTCATGCTCACACACTCATGCTCACACACTCATGCTCACACACTCACTCTCACACTCTCACACACTCATGGTCACACACTCATGCTCGCACACACTCACTCACTCACTCATGCTCACACACTCATGCTCACACACTCATGCTCACACACTCATGCTCACACACACACGCTCACTCACTCATGCTCACACACACACACACTCTCACTCACTCATGGTCACACACACTCACTCACTCATGGTCACACACACTCACTCACTCATGGTCACACACTCACTCACTCATGGTCACACACTCACTCACTCACTCATGGTCACACACTCACTCACTCACTCATGGTCACACACTCATGCTCACACTCTCTCACACACACACACACTCACACTCACTCACTCATGGTCACACACTCATGGTCACACTCTCTCACACACACACACACACACACACACACACACACTCACTCATGGTCACACACACACGCTCACACATTGGAGTCCAGAGAAAGAATGTAAACACCGCCTGGCCTTGTGTTTTCACAACACTGAACTACATGTACAATGATACAGTGAAGGGTCTGATCTTCAGATATCATTTCCCACCATCAGCATCCTCACACGCACCGCAGTCACTGCGCACATAGGTCAAAGGTCACAGCGCTGCATGCCGATTCTGAAGTGTTATAGAGCATCACCACCAGGACAAACATTTGATATGAAGCTGGTGTTTACTGATCTCATCTAACGTCTGATACTAACCCACTAAACTGGTCACATGTTTTCATTGCTGACCCACAAACGCCTGTGTGTGCAGTACTGATCCTCGCCCAAGCCCGTGTGTTCTCAGGTCTGTGCGCTCGGTAGTAGCCCGCTGAAGCCCCGTGTGCGTGTACCTTGTCCAGCTCGTCGTGCAGCTCCGAGAGCGTGGGTCTGATGAGCTTCTCGCCCAGCGGCGCGGCGGTCTGCCGGTAGAAGTCGATGTTGGGCACGGCGTCGATGGTGTTGTGTCCGAAGGTGCGGAGGTAGTAGGTGTTGGTGTGGGTGTCGTAGTGATGGTGCTGCTGGCCGCCGCTGGACGAGTGCAGGCTGCCCTCGCTCATCACCGTGTCCCCGTTCTGCGCGCAGTCCGCCGGCGCCGCGTCCGGACTCGAGGCCGCGAAGTTCACGACGCGAAACCGGCCCTTGGCTTCCTCTCCGCCGGACGCGGAGTCCCGGAGCGGCTCGGCGGGGTACTCGGGCGGCGAGGAGTCCGAGGCCGCGGCGCACTCCGACACCAGGTCCACCTGGAAGCGGCTCTGGCTCGGCGTGGGACCGGCGGGCTTGATGGAGAGATGGTCGCTCGCGGCGGCGGGGGGCGGAGGGGACGCCGACATGACAGAGAAGCCTCCTCAGAGCCGAGAGTGTCCGGTGAAGTGCGGCGGAGCCGGTGGAGGCGACACTGATGCTGCAGGAAGACTAGAACAACGCCGCTCATGCGGATGCAAACGGAGAACAGCGGCGCGTGCGTCCAGCCTGAACGCGTGTGAGGAAATATCCGACGCGCTCCAGAGGACGCTAACGAGCTCCGTGAACCGAGCGTTCGCCGTGATGCTGCGCGACCTTGCCGCAACGCCGTGTCTCGTCGCTTTATAGGCACTGCAGTGGCGGCTATGCTGGGCGGCATCGCGAGAGGAGGCGCTCTCGCGAGAGTTGCCCGCTCCATCAGGGGTGAAGACTCACACGCAGGCGAATGAGAAGTTGAGTCACCTTGCATCGCGACATTGGGACGAAATATAAGTGTATCTACATAAAACACATCGCTTCGGAAATGCTGTGTCCTATGGACATAACATTTAGTTTAGAGAGAGAGAGGCCCACAAAAGCGGCTTATTCAGTCTAGTGAATCCTCTCCTTTCAGAAGAATACATTTCCAGTTGCTGTGCTGCAGAAGAAGCGTCTGAAGACCTGATCATCTGCACACGATGCTCTCACAGATTCAGACATCTGTGCTCTCAGTTTTGCTCTTTGCTCACAGATTCAGACATTCAGAAAGATTTGTAAACCATTCCGTCAGTTTAGAAATCTGTTCCCACCGATTAATCAGCAACAGTCTAACATTAGAAAGTGTATTTCTAATATATTCTACAAATAAACATAATAACTCTGAAAATCACTAAAAACATATTCTCAGATTATTGTACTATAAGTATACTTAATCAAGTTTAAGACAAAAATGATATGCTAAGCTTCCTAACAGCTCCAGACACATTAATGACGCTATTTCAAATTGAGTTAAAGAATGAGCGTGAAGTTTTACGACAAGCTGTAGAGAGGTCACGGCTCTGTTTAGACACTGAACTCCTAACATAGCAAAGACGCCAAAGAACTTTAGCCAAACATAACGTGTTCGGATGTTCCCTGCTCTGCCATAAACAGAATTAAAGGTGATTTGGTTCATAAACATGTTTTGTTGCTGGATGAAAGTCTCTTCACGTCCCGACAGCAATCGCTGAGTAAAGTGCTCTACATTTATTTATATCAAGATCCAGATAAAATGCTCATCCACCCAGATTATTCAGTCGGAACATTATGATAGGCTAAATAATTGTACTACTGTAATGTTGTGGGCTGTGTCTGAGCAGTAATGAGACTGATTCTGGTTGGCACTCATGTGTCTGGAGGAGGCGTGGCTTTGGAGACTGATTTGCAGGGAGGAGGGGGTCTTATGCTGTCAAAGCTAGCTTGCTATTGCTAGCCTCTCGCCTACCCTGCCTTTAAGCCACTGTTCAGTTTCTTTTGTTAAAATCTTAAAGGGTTAGTTCACCCAAAAAGGAAATTTAGACTGAATGTACGTTTTATTAGACTTAAAATTAGACAAAAATGTGAAAATTGACTCGTTCCGGTGGATGACGGAGGACGTATGCGCAGCGTAAGCGCCTCTGAGATATGCTAGTCTCGTGAGTTTGTTTACAGGCGCAAAGGAAGCAAAGTTTCCTTACTTTAGCAGGAAAACCAGTCTCCTCTTGGCTTGTATCCAACTCCTCCGACAATCTTCTTTACAAATCCTTGGTTTGATTTCTAATTCGTGAGTGGCGTTTGTTTTGCTGTCGCTCCTCTGCGCTTCTGTGTTCGTCACTAATCACCAGCGCATACGTCATCCGCCGGAATAGTCAGGAGACGTGAGAGAAAACTGTTTATAATGTTTGAAACATGGATATTTGTCTTATGAAAACGCATGGATTCGCTACAGGAGGCCTTTATTCACCCCCCGGAGCCGTGTGAGGCATGGTTTATTATGGATGCACGCACTTTATTTGACTTCTTTTGGACTGTTGAACAAAAACACCCTCCTACTCTCATTCTAACGCTTGGCAGAGCCAGGACCATTTTTAATATAACTCTGATTGTATTCGTCTGAAAGAAGAAAGTCATCTACACCTAGGATGGCTTGAGGGTGAGTAAAACATGGGCGGAGGGAACAAATCATAGTAAAATTGATACACACACTAAGCCACTGATTTAAACCCAAAAAATCATGAATGTGCCAAAGCTTCATGAAGCTGTGTTTCGAAAACATCCATTACTGTTCATCTCGTGTGATGGATATTATTTTGCATGATGTTCACGATGTACAGGAATGATGTTAGGGTGTGTAAATAATGACTGAATGTTCATTTTAGGGTGGATTATAAACTGCAGTCCTCTTAAAGCTCATGTCTAGAGCGCTCACATAAGTTCACCTCACCCTGGAAAACACAACCGGATTTTTCTATTGGCTTTTGGATTATTGCAGAAAATAAGCTCTTTGGCAAACAAAAGTTTATGATTCATAATACATGTGTTGATACATATGATACATGTGTTGTTCATCATGTTAATCTTCATTATGAATTATGAAGCCTAAATACAATTGGCAGAAGTACGTAGGCTATAAATAATCCACATAATGTTCTCATGACTTCAACAGCTCTTTCAGTCTTATTTCAGGCATTTCACCAAAAAACAGAAAGAAACACCCTTCAAAAACCCTGTGACTTCTGGACAATGGAACCGGAAGTGCTAAAGTCGTAACTCATTTCCAGGTTTCAGCTACAAAAACCTGTCACCTCTTGGACTAGTACTGTACTGCTCTCTCAGCTGGCTCTGTGTTTGTCTTCAGGTGTGTGAGCTGCTGTTGCAGATCTTCTCTGACGTCTCTGTCGGAGCCTGTTTGACTTCTCCTTCCCTCTCGCTGGCATCAGATGTGTGCTGTGAAGCTGACGGCATATTCCTTTATCTGTGCTTTCATTTAGTGCAGTCCCAGGGCCATGCGCTGTCCTGTACTGACTACAGCAGTGGATTCCAGTCCCTACAAAGCTCTTCTTTTATTAGCAAGACAGATATATTCAACTAAACGAAGCCTAAAATGGCAAACACAGCTACAACAGCTACAGCTACAGCACTGCTCGCTCTGACAGACTGACTCACTGAAATCAGGCTGCTTTGTGCATCTCAGAAAGTCTACAAACGCTTCTGCCAACAAATGAAGGTTTTGTTTGTTTGTTGTTTTATTGAAACTGTTAGAAAGGTGATTCAAAGACTCAGAATACTCAAAGACACTCAATAGTCACTTAGTGGGACAGCATTATTGTCTAGTTCCAGAATTTATTGTTTAAAATTATTATTATTATTATATTTTCCTTTCTTTTTATCTATCTATCTATCTATCTATCTATCTATCTATCTATCTATCTATCTATCTATCTATCTATCTATCTATCTATCTATCTATCTATCTATCTTTCTTTCTAGTTCCGAGCAATAAAAGTGGCCTTCTTTAGATTAGTTTAGTATCTGGAGCGTCAGGAGTTGTAGATTTGTGTACAGGCTCAAAACTTTCTTTGAAAACACGCCAGTCTAATGATGTGCTTAGAAAAGACAGCTATTCCATGTGAGAACTTGCAAGGAAACTTAAAATATCTTACAATGCTGTGAACGACTCCCTTCACAGAACAGCGCAAGCTGGTTCTAACCAGAAGAGAAAATGAGTGGGAGGCCCCGGTGCACAACTGTGCAAGAGGACAAATACCTGAGATTGTGCAGTTCAAGACAAAAACAGGTACTCCACTGGCAACTTCATTAAAGGGCCATCAAACACTTTTTTAGCAGTGATTTTAGCAGAGGTGTTTGTGTTGCACATCAGAAGACAATGCTAGCATCTGTTCATTTTAATTGTTGGAGAGAACCGGTTCATTTTGTGCTTTTTTTTTTTTAATGCTATTTTCATCTTCCAGGTTTAAAATAATCGACATCGTGTTGATGTCACAGATTGTGACGTGGCAAAGGACTAGTACTTCGATGACGCTTTGGTCTCCCATAACTATTCATAAGACTGAGTTTTCTTATGCTAGGAGAAGATGCTTCGCTTAATTATTCACAACAGCATGTGTTGATTTGCTGTGACAGACGCTTCAGACTGTGAGATTGCGTAGATTAACATAGAGTTCATGGATTGAAGGAGAGTGTTTGTTTTTGCTTTGTAAGAGTTTGGCACAAATGCGATTCATTCACTGTTTTTACAGCTGCTTGATGCAACCAATAAAAAAGGCTTATTCATATTAATACCGCAAAATAAGCCTTAAAAGTTATTGGCGACAGCGCGTTCATGTTTTCGATGCAGAGTGCATTTATTTGTTTTTAACTCAATGGGAGTGAAATGAAACCAAAGCTGTCTGTGTCCCCTCTTCCCCTCCGCTCACCTTGCCCACTTGTTAGCATTTTTCAAAACTGTGGAGAACAGGGCTTGACATGAACTTTTTTTTGCTCACCAGCCATTGTATTAGTAGTTTTCCAAAAGCACTAGCCACTCAGCATTTTCACCGGCCATAATTTTGTTGCTGGGAAATTAACTTTTATTTGATTGAAGTTACTGCATACTAAAATTAATTTAAATTGATTTCCAGGTCGTTTTTTGTTTTTGCCTGTTTAAAGGCCATTTTTTTTCCCCCTAACCATATTTAATGCATGCATCATATTTCATATCAAATTCTTACATTTAATTAATCATTTCAGTTAATATAATAAGACACTATAGGGTTGTTACCAATCAAATAAAATCAGTATTAACAAAACCTCTTTTTGAAGAAGAAACAGAAGCAGCTGATACAGATGCATTTACACTGCAAAATTACAACAGCATAAATATGAGCTTTGTGTTTATTTAATATTAAATGTTGTAAAAATGCAAAGATAAGCTACTTTTAAATATGAAAGAAAACTGCCAGTAGGTGGCAGCAAGTCTTAATGAGTGAGTCATTGAGTCATTCATTCAAACGATTCATTCAGACGGCTGATTCATTCAAGAATGAAGCGAGTGCCTGGCTGCGTCCGAAACCGCCTACTCAATGAGTAGGTACTTAATTTCAATAAGTACTTACTTAACGAGCGCTAAAAGAGTAGGTACTCTACAGCCAAATCTTGTTAAGTATGAATGAGATCCAGACTTCATCCGCCATGTTGACGTTATCATGTGATGTTATCATTGATTATATGAATATTATGATTATTTAAAGAAATTTAACCATGTCATTGTGCCTCTTTTTCCATGTATATAATCTCATACTATAATGCTTGCAAACCCATTATATTGATGTTTTCTGCGGTTTGTCATTATGATTGTTCATTGTTAAAGATACAACCATCTTTCCCTGAGCTGGTATGTAATAAGTTCTGCAGTATTAATAATAAAAAAAAAAGATAAGATGGACGGGTGCACTAA